TTTTTATTGGCGTGCGTTTTACTGTAATTGTGAATGATTTTAACTTTATTCACTTAATGTCCTGTAGAACGCGGCAGTAGCTTAAAAGCAGCACCCACTCGACACAACTGAAGAAACGTGTTCGCTTCGCCGTTTTCATTCATCAGATTCGAAACGATGAGGTGTAAGTGACTTTTTATTGGCGTGCGTTTTACTGTAATTGTGAATGATTTTAACTTTATTCACTCACGTCGTGTAGATCATGGCATCGAAACGTAGAAGAACTGTAATGACTGTAGCGGAGCGAGTGAAATGCATCCGTTTGAGCGAGGTTGGACACAAAGTTAAAAACATCCAGCAGACACTTGGGAGTCGGAAAGACGCAAATCTACGAAACTTTAAAAAAACAATAGAATTTATTATGTGATTTCCTCGCTTGATTTTCTGTTTTGATGCATTATTTTCAGTTTTCGTATTTTCATTGAAGGAATCGTTAATTTACATTTTTCGGAGGCATGAACACCTCTACGAGTCCAACGAAAGAAGGCACGGAGACGGACAAAGACGTACCTGTATTTGTTGAGACTGTGAAAACCATTAATAAAGTGTGCGTTTAAAAAGAAAAAAAAAAAAAAGACCACAGCTCTCCTTTTTTCGGAGCTGCAACAAAAACTTATTTAATAAAGCAGCGACACTGTTCACTGAACCAACAGCAAGTTATAACATTGTAAGCATGTCTCCAGCAAGGAGCCATCTTGGGGGTCGACATATTACCGTAATGACCATACACAAGACGCACCGGATTTTAAGGAGCGCTGTGAGCTTTTAAGAAAATGGAAGACTTTTTCGGTGCGCCTTATAGTGCGGAAAATACGGTATATAAAAATAAAATTCCCGCCCCCCCTTTTTTTAAACAGACCGACATGTTAAACCACCTGTAAAATACCCCCTTCTTCCTGAATTCTTGTCCCACGCCCCATCATTTTGCAGAGAAACTCACCCCATACATTTTGGCGCAGTGCTGAAATACTACACACATGCCGTGCTATGTGCACTTTCCCACTAAATGTGCTTCACCCATAAGAAACTGAATGTAAATCTCACCTCCACTGACAGGTTGTGAGTGCTGAACGAGCATGTACCATTCCCAGTATCTGATAATACAGGAAAGTCGATCTCAATGTCCATGACGTCCTCAAAACGGAGCTCTTCGCTGTAAGAACAGAGAACAAAACGTGAAAAGAATATGAATAGTTTATGCTTGGTAAATAAGTGCAACGTTTGCTTACACGTGACTGGCATTGACTTCTCCTCCCTCTTCTGTTGGTGGGTCCCACGCATGTAGCTTAACCTTCCACAGCTTGATCTGCTGGTCCCAGGAACGGCGACTGTATTTCCTGAACTTATTGGGAGTCTTAGGATGAACACCTGGCTGTCGCATGTGCCTGGAAAAGGGAGAGAAACTAGTTTGGACAAGGTTCCATCCGCAGTTTCCGATTGTTTTTTGCGCCTGTAATGGGCAGCATTTTTCACAGCCCCGCTTTGTTCAGTGGAGACGTCGGCGCTGTTGGACAGTCGGCGTTGGTGCGGCCGGATGGATGGCTGCTGAAGTTGAGGATGAGGAGAGAGGAGCGTCGGCGCGGAGCACAGATGCATATTTGTAACTGAGAGTCGCCGCTTGAAAGTGAAATGGATTTACATGGGACAGGAGAAGTGAACCAATCTCTTTTTTTCGTCAATGGATGCTACAGCTTCGTGTTGACTTTGAAACTTAGCTTGTAGCCGACGTGTGCACATTCTGAGCATGACGTCTCTGATCCACTGGTGAAAGGACACTTTAATTCTCTCCTCTTTCATCTCAAACTGCTTTAAACAACCAAGCGTATTGAGGGAAAAGTGGTTAGGATTGCACGACTGTCCGTGTTTTATGTTATGTGTTGTGTTTATTAATTTACTTTATGTTAACTGTTTTGTTAAGCGCTTTGTTACAGCAGCAGCTGTTGTGAAAGCGCTAAATCAATCAGCATGTCTTGTATTGCATTAGTTACTGCAGTGAACTTGTCATCAGGGGTGTGAAATGAGGATGAAAAAATACGAAGAAAGTTAAGGGGGGGTTCTGGGGGGGGCACAATATCACTTATTGCGACAGACATTCTATCATATTCTCATAGCAAACCTTGACTACCAGGAGTGTTTTTTTTTTTTAAATCAACACGTGTTTCAAAGCGAATACAGAGACAGGAAAGACAGAGGTTGGTGCGCGTTACAATGTTGTAAATAGAGGAAGTACGGCAATGTCGTTGGTCGGTAAAATTCACATACGCGGTGCCAGATCACGCTATTTTTTGCCCGCGTTAAGTTCTTGTCGGCTTTGCCGAGTTGCAGTCAAAACTTGTTCTACGCTCAGCTGGCATAAAACTCCGCGTGCCCGGCTGTATTGGGCCGTGGTGTAGGAGGCACGATCGCCACGCAAGGCTATTAAAGCCAAGTAGACCCCCCCACTCCCCCAATGATTTTTCATGTAAAAATAGAGGTTTTGTGAAAATCATATTTTTCACAACGGAATCCCTGTATGATGCAACTATAACACCAAGGTGTGTGTGTGTGTGTGTGTGTGTGTGTGTGTGTGTGTGTGTGTGTGTGTGTGTGTGTGTGGTGGGCAGGGGGGTGTTTTGCTCTGGACCTACTTGGGAACTTCCTTGACATATCGATCATAGGCCAGTGTATTCTTGCCGTAGTTGATCTGCTTCTGTCGTCGTAGCAACACAGCCTCATCCATTTCCACGTTGTCCCCCTCTTTGGAGTCACAGCTGCAGAATCATTTTGAAAAATGAAGTAGTGGTAGATGGACTCATATGCTTAGTAATTCATGGCGAAAAATGAAACACCAAGGGAGAGGTAACACACCTGCCAGAAGAGCCAGAAGATGTCTTTCTCTCTCTTTGGGTGACTTCTGCAGCGAGTATCCTCCTCCTGTAACTGAACAAGTGGACATACAATGGATTAGAAATGACCTGGCCAATCACGCATGAATTATCTTAAAGAGATTCTTGGTCTCTTTATAAATACACTGGCTAACCCCCGGTGGAACGAAAAAAGACGGTCGTGGACAAGACAGAAAAAGGAAAAGAAGAGAAACATACAGATTGATGGAGCGCGTGTCCGTCCGACCTCGAGCGACGTGTCGCCTCCACTAACTTAGCTGTTGTCGTGGGTAGGCTAGCTTAGCTGGTGTCGTAGATCAAAGCTCTTTGATGTGTTACGTCCATTGCGTCAGCACTGATTGGTTGAACCAAAAGACGTGTCCGTGCGTACATGTCCGCGCTGACGCACGCACAGCAGAGAGCAGCGGACTATTGACTGCTGAGCCGCTACAAGCTTACACAAAACGCTATTCAAATACTCGACATTCAAAGATTAATCTGTGTTTTAGGTGCATACGTGCACCCTTTGTGGCTTCCGTTCTCACTGAAATTTCGAAATCTCCGAGATATGGCGAGGCCATGAAAATGCGAGGGGAGGGGTGTTACTGTTAACTAGTGTTAGTGCCTCTAAAGAGATTTTTGTCTCTTTATAAACACACTTGCTAAACCCCAGTGGAACGACAAAAGACACTATGGACAAGACAGTTATTATAGTAAAAAATATACACATTTGGGCTATGAAAAGAAAGCACACGTATTACCAGTACAACGTGTCCGTCTGTCTTCGAGCGTCGTGTCGGCTAGACTGGCTTAGCTTTGTCGTAGTTTAAAGCTTCTTTGACCTGTGATGTCCGTTGCGTAGGCCCTGATTGGTCGAAGCCAAAAGACGCGCGTGCGTACGTGTTCGTGCTGACACGCACAGCAGCAAGCAGCGGCCTATCGACTGCTGAGGCGCGCTTCGCTCGAGTGGCGTCGCTACACCTCAACATGGCTACCCTCGTGAGAGCAAAATAACGAACTCTTAACGCGTGTTCGTTCAATGTTGTCAACTAATATCCGGATTAATTTTAGGCAATTTGCCGGAGGAATTTTCATGAAAATTTGAAATTCCTCCTATATTTTGTTGTTCTACTTCTTCCTTTCATAACTTTGCTGCTGTGTATTGGGAATTTCTCCATTGCGAGACTAATAAAGGTTTTCTTATCTTGTCTTATCTTACCATGTCCCTCTGGCTTCGAGCGTCGTGTCGGCTAGACTATCTTATCTGTTGTCGTAGTTCACAGCTTCTTTGATCTGTGATGTCCGTTGCACTGATTTGTTGAAGCCAAAAGACGCACGCACAGCAGAGAGCAGTGGACTGCTGAGGCGCGCTTCGCTCAAGTGGCGTCGCTACACCTCAACATGGCTACGCTCGTGAAAGCAAAACAACAAACTCAAACGCGTGTTCGTTCAATGTTGTCAACTAGTATCCGGATTAATTTTAGGCAAATTTTCCTCAATTTTCCAGAGGAATTTTCATGAAAATGTGAAAATCCGGAGGACTTTCATCACTGATAAAGGAAATGGGAGTCTGCATTTGCTTTATGGACAACGCCGTCCACTTCATAACAGAAAAGCAAGCTGCAACTCGTTATCTAAATACACACAAGAAGGCCTGCAAAACACGAAGCAGAGATAAAGCCACAGAGTAGGTGAAGCAGTCTGTTACCGCTGCATGTCTCTCTGCACATCTCTCCTCATCTCGTCATCCTCCACCTGGCTGCCCCAGTCAGCCTGTCGAGCAATGCGAGACACTGGGGCTCTGCTTTCTGGAGTGGTAAAACTGGAACAGAAAAAAAAGGAAGACCTGAACACCTTTCAACACAGACATATCAACAACACTTCATTTTATATAGTGAGCAAGTGAGAGAGGTTACAAGTGCACCAACATCTCCAGTCTGCTTATGGTGGTGCTCATTTGGCAGCTTGTCATGGTGACGCAGCTTCAGTTAGAAAAGAGGAAAAAGACACCACCTCAAAAAGTGGGTCTTGGTCTGGTTATTTGCTCCACACCAGGATTCGTTTGTGTGCACTCACATCTGCATCTGCATGAAAGGTCTGGACCAGCGTGACCAAAAAAACAAAACAAAACAAAAAACAAAAAACAAAAACAAAAAAAAAAAAAACCCTAGTCCATTTTAAGAGGACTAAACAGTGTAGGTCAGACATGGGCAAACTACGGCCCGCGGGCCGGATCCGGCCCGTTGGTCTTTTTAATCCGGCCCGCCGAAGGTTGGTACAGTACACAATTAAGGTTCGATGTAAATTATTGCATTCATTTCATTTGGACTTGTAATACAGGCATTTAAACGCCAGGTGGCGCAGTTACTTGAAGTCACAGAGAACAAAGAGGGAGGGGGAGACGATACGGAAGCCCGGAGTAGCACTAACTCAAGTAAGTCGCGCTCGATACGACGAAATAGATGTATCCCCACCGCTATTTTCTGTCATTGGATCCAAAACGGCGACATGCAAGCGACTCTTTGTTGCAGTGAGTTTTACTGGAATTGCGAACATTTTTACATCCTTTATTAGAGCATGGCATCCAAACAAAGAGGAGCGG